AGAATTCCATTTTTGGGGAAGTCCATTAGCCAGGTTATGTAAATTCTCAAGTAACAAATTGACTCAGCATGTTCCTAAGCCGCAGACCTCTTAGGTGATGCATGCTGAACGTCATTTGCCTATTTGCTCTCACTAGGTGACAGGGAAACCATGTATTTTCCCCACCTCATACACACACAAAGCGGAAATACACTAAGCTCCCCTGTTGGTCTTGTTCTTATTCACCTTTCTTGCAATTAAGGCACTCTGCACCTGACCTTACCAATTAATTTAACTTATCTTCACCTCTCCCCTCCGCCACGGTATTCCAGTGAGCTTAAACAATTATAGATACTCTACTTTTGCCAAAAGTGTTTTTCTCATATTTTGTGTAGTTAGGAAAATTGTTTCACATGTTATAAATCTATTTAGAAACCGGCTGGGATTGTCAAAGCTCTAACCAGCACATTCCCCAAAGCTTACTTTCTATTTTGCAAGTAAGTTTAACATCAGCGACAGCAGCCACTACTATCACTTTTTTTTCGTAAAGTATGATCCACAAGAAAGCTTTTTCTCAATTTCTGAAGAAAGGAAGGAACTAACATTTAATGAGTTAATCCCTGCTATTTGCAAGAAACAGGTTTAATGAACTTACATATATCATTTAAAGTCAAAGTTTCTTGCTTTTCCTTTAAAGACTGATAATTTTTACTGTGATCATTGTTACTGTGAGTTAGAGAGAGCAGAGTTGATAGAAAACACACAAAGATGTGTCTTAGGTTTCCCATTCCCAACAAGGTGCACTTCATTGTATACAATGCCAGTGATTTACTGCCACCCTCACCACAGTTCCTGTATTAATCACGTCCGTTTCTAACACTGACAGAAATCATCCTAGGCCACCGTATCACCCTGCAGGAATCTTGGTGTCCTAGCAGTGGCTATCCAATCACCATTTATAAGAGTGACCTTGGGCAGGTTTCCTCATCTGTCTGTGTCTCCGGTTTTTCATCTCTAAAGTGGATGACAACAGTAGCTACCTCACAAATGTGAGGATTAGGTTTATGGTACTTCACTGAATCTACATTGCCACTGATTGTAAGAGGCAGTTGATTTCAGAGATATTAATATATAAATATAGTGTCTATGATTTGATGACATATAGTAATAGCTGAAAGATATCTAAGTACAAAATTAAAAATAATGCCTGGCACAATAGGATGTGTGCACTGATAGTGTCAAGTGAGATTATCTATTAGCAACCCATGGGCCATAGGGTAAAAGTGGGCTTGACAAGCCTCCTGTGGGCCACGATATGGCTTCTTCATCTGAGGAAGAACACCCGGAGCACATCTTTGTTGAGTTTGCCTGGGCAGGTCATGCCACTCATCTGGGCCTCTGTAAATAGGGGGCTAGATTAGTCACCCTAATATTTTTTTTCCTAGCAGGTAAACATATTTTTCCAAATGAAATGTTACATAGGACCCAAAGTGTATAACAGATAAAAAGATTTGTTCCGGTTAAAGCAGGGCTGGAGGAGCACAAAGCTCTGCCTTCGTCTTTCCTCCTCTTTACCTGCAGGTAAGCCCCACCAGGCAGTTCGTTCAGGGCAGTCATCTCACATTGTTGTCATGGTAAGATGATGAGTCTCCCAACACTTCTACAGGTGTTTGTTATTAATTACTCCAAACTTTGTCATATTTCACCTTATTGGGCTGAATCATTAGTACTTAATATGTGCATTGCACACACACACTTTCTATTATATTTTTCTTGCTTTCCTCCACTTTGGTGTCTAAACTCCTTCCATCTATCTCACATAACTGAGACTATATTTTCATCTCAATAAGAACACCTCATGAGCCTTCGCAGATGTAGTGTAATGTTCACAGAAGATGCAACATGAAGGGTGTTGAACTTTTGTTCCATATAAAGGTTTCTGTTCTCAAGGACTTTTTATTCTAATATCTTCTTCTTGAAACCCTTCTTGAGCTCCATCTTAGGAAAACTCCATCCAATAATGAATTTGATGTAACTTTTTTTTTTTTTTTTTTTT